CTGAGAAGGGAACGCTGACTGAATCTATCCATCTTCATTCGCTTTTACCATTCGTTCTGCTCTTACTCGTCTATGCTTCTCCATGTTGCCCACAGGTAAACATATCAGATAGTATGGTGAAGCTAAACGATTCTGTTTCCAACATCTTCATCCCTATTTCAAAAAATTCGCTCTCATTTTTCCTCTTACTCGCTTGTGCCCAGCGTACAGTTATACCGAAATACCTGCACCAGTTGACAAGTGCCAATCATGTTCATCTCACACACAACAGATACATCTCCCATTCTCTCTGTTTCGGCCCATATGTACAGCTGCTGAAATGGAAGGAAATAAATACCCCCTCTTTCACCAGTACTTTATAGTAGGTTACAATGTATAATAAATGATTTACCTACATCAGATGTTTTGTTTGTATGGTATGATTTCAGAGTTAATATTTCCCTTGTCCCCCCCCAATTACTCTTCATCTTTTACCCTAGGAAATGAAAACTTGGTTTCATCCGTACACGGAGATCTCCGCTATGATATATTCTGTGCCCAAACAAGGCGTAGAACTGCAAAATCCAGGAGGATAAAAGCTCGACTTTTATTTCTGCCCGATATTTGCAATATACTGTTAAGACTATACGAAAAAATTGTATAAATACGATCATGCCGGATAAAGCATGTCTCCTAAACCCGAGAATAGACATCAAAATTATTAAAATGGGGTTCCGATTGGTCTTGTTCAGATGATCGCCCAGGCTGCCTTGACTAACTACTATCTCCAGTGACAGGATGGAGTTTGTTGTAAGTTTCAATAACTTAACCAGCAGTGTATCGCAATCCAATCCTCTCTAGCGAATGAGAGAGAGAGCATTCTGACACAACCATGGTTCGTGAATTCGTAGTAACGAACGCATGGACATTCCTTCAGTATCTAAAATGGCCAAAACCCTGGAGCATCCACTTGATTAAGCGTAGCCACTGTGTCATAAATGTCAGAGGATATAGCAATGTAGTAACAACGCTAGACTAGACAGCTTTGCAAAAAGGATGGGTTACTATATAGGCAAGCCAGTACTCGTCGTAAAGCGCAGTGTGGCATTCTCATACTTAACAGACACATGAGTTAGGAGACTTATAGTAGCGTCTAAGGTCCCACGGGGTGAAAGAATTGGTGGCGTCCCATTCCGGATTTGCTTGTCCCTGCAGCCTGCATATATATATATATATATATATATATATATATATAATGCTGTACAGCATGACTAATAAACTAACTGGTCGTTTGCCAAACCTTTTGCAACGATGGGTTGTCGATCGGTTACAAATATTTCCCAAGGTATCCAATATATATATATATATCTTGCATGGGTAAGTATAATGTTCCCATCGAAATGAAATCAAATGCATTATGCAGCTCTGTTTGAGTCAGTAGACATAGAAAGTATCACGTCATCCATAAAGGGGGGTCTTAGAGACCAGGCGGATGATGACTTACCTGACGAAGTTCGTCCACTCTGTCATGCATGTATGACCGGGTCTCTTCCGCCACCCGATCCTCACGTTCTTGCATCAAGAGTACCCTCATTATTTTGCTTTTTATCCCATTTTGTTCTGTTTCACATTGATGCTTCATCTGTTCTAATTTTGCTGTTGAGTAATGGGTCGCAAACTTCTCCTCCATAATAGTTTTTGCCTTCATCTCCTACAAGCGGAAAAGTTGAGATTCACTATCAAGTCAGTTTGAATACTCGTGGAGAAATCAAGCTTCGCAATGTGAGCAATACCAAATGCCACAAGTTTGAGTTAACTTCGCTCGCTTAACACTCCAGGATGTCTCCTAAATCACCGCTATATTTTCCCGAGAATAGAGCATTGTTTCTTGTTTTCTCCGGACATTTAGCAGTATGGATTTCAGGCGGTGCGTCGGATAATTTATCCACTGTCCATTCGCTTATGGGATTTAGATGTCAATACAGTGCATATTCCAGCGAAATTACTAAGCGCAAACTGTCCACGCTGTCTTCGCGATTCTAACATCCCCTTTAGGGGCATATGAGGGCTATAAAGTATCGCTTACAGGCTCCTATCGAGCCAGCCATCTAGTCAATAGATACTAGTTCAACCACCTGGAGCACCGTTTTTCATTTCGCTTGTACGTTTAGGCACAGACTGATTAATATTTGTGTCAGATCACAGAGACGTAAAGCCGTCAAATGGATCATAGATTCATTCGGAGCACTCAGGGCGCTGCAGGGCCGTGGCATTAATGATCGCAAGCCTGCCTTGTATGCCGAGAGCGGGGGGTTCGAGCCTAATTGAGGAGCCGGGCGACCGTTGCAATATCCTTGTGATGGTCGTTGGTCGGCAGCGGTGCGTCAGTATTGCGTACCGGTGTACTGCTGATGCCTGCCTACTCGGTGCGCCACGCATGGCTTTTGGTTTGTCAAAGACATACCAAGCTCACGGAATCATATTGAAACCCAAGTATCGGAGCCTGGGCAGGATATAATAAGGTTGAGCGGTTCACTCATCCTTCGCGATGCCGTACAATTCTGTTGCTAACGCGGTGTTCCCACTAGACGTGAGCCAAGCTGCGAAGGTCCAAGGTAACAAACCTCTTTAAGTCTGTCGACTTAATAGTCCAGTTTTATCAACCGTACAAGAGGACTGAACAGACGGTTGTATTGTAAACTCTGCCCTTCAGTGCGAGAGTGATGTCACGCCGGCGCCACAGGTGGCGGAGATGGGTAAAACCGTCTCGTCATGATTCGTGAGCTCGTCTTCAATCCCAGTGACTCTAATATAGCTGCAGGAAAATTTGAATTTCTGGAAGAGTTTTAGCTGAGCACCGCTAAGGTTCAGCGCTGGGCTGCATAACTACTAGTCTTGGAGGAGTTTGTTTTTCGAGGGTTTAAACCATAGCCCAAAACCACTGACAGCCATTGGTAATCTGTCCAGTGCTGCTTGGCACATTTGGGAGCAGTCACACCCTAGAGAAAAGTCGCCGACATACACCGAATCTGGACATCGCTCACCAGGAGACATTTCCACACCTTGTAGGTCGTGTCCACCGAACTCAATTTCCATGACTTCGTCGATGGAGAAGTTACAAAAGAGACTTGACGGCTGGCATCCTTATCTCAAACCGCTGGAGATATTGAAGAGGGGCGAGAGTTTTCCATAAACCCTCACTCCGCCCGAACTATGCGCGTACAGCGCTCTGATAATGTCTAGGTATTTATCGGGCACACCTTTCCTCAGCACAGTCCCAAAGGGCACATCGATTCACCGAGTCGAAGGCACCTTTGATGTCGAGGAACACGACTTCGGTGGGTCACAAGTAGATCTGGCGGCGTTCCAGAAATTGACCTAAAGTGAAGATGCGGTCAATGCGGGCTCGATTTCGACAAAACCCGACTTGGTCCTCGTGCATCTGGCTTGCACCTCTACAGTAAGTCCATGGAGGAAGACGGAGGGAAGTAACTTAGAGGCAGTGGAGATCAGACTGATACCTCCGCATTCTGAACGAGAGACCATGAAAATTGGGACCATAACAGAGCGGCTGCAGTCTGTTGGAACAGACTTCTGAACCCAGAGATTCAAAAACAACTTATATAAATCATCCAAAAGAGCAGATCTCCCAAATTTGTAGAGGTCTGGATGAAGTCCAGCTGCTCCAGTGACTTTGTTCAATTTCAACAGTCCGATCTGACATTAGATTTCTGCACGTGAGGGCGGATCCAAGGAGACGGCCCAGGGAGTAGGGCACACATTAGTCGATGGAGAAGCTCTCAGTTATGAATGTTTCACATAGTGATCAGCCCAACGCTCCAGACGTTTTGATAGGATGTGAATCGGCTGTACACCCTCGTCGCATATGGTCTCGCTAACACCAGCGTTCCGGCTACCCGTTTCTCGTATCAGACAGAATACCTTCAGGTGGTTACCAAGGGCAGCGGCTGTCTCCATTTATGAGGCACAATGAGACCACCACGTGTCGTGGTCTGTCTTCAGGCTAGTAGGAAGTTTCACACTAAGAATACTGCGAATCCAATTGTGTTCGCTTCTAGCTGGAATGCATCCAAAAGTTCTAGAGACTGGGTGGAGACCCAATGTCTAGGTAGTCAATTTAATTTGCCACATGAAGACATGCCTACTGCTAATAACGTCTGACGGATGTACGACCAGTGATCTTCAACTATGTTCAGTGAGCGTTAACTCAGGTTAGATGTCACCGTACCTTGATAACATACACAACAGCTGTCTTCGCCAGCTGGCAAATATCTATGCATTCACTGCGCAGTTGCGGGCCTCCACGGAAACGTACCAGCAGGTCAGCACAAACAAATGCGTGGTCTGAGTCAACGCTCGTGGTACAAATGGAGCGACGGTTTGGGACCCAGGCTCCCCAGCGGTAACTGATTGAGATGTGATTGATTTGCCTCCATGGCTGGTTTCAAGGAGATGAGCACCATGTCACTGTTCTGCAGGTGCTGTGTCGGAAGTTATTGGTCCCGGAGAAAGAGACGATAATCTACAAATGATAGCAACCACTCACCTCTATCATTACGGGAGCCTACACCGTGTTGGTAGCACAGGTGTGTTACATCCAAGCGAAATAAGAACACCGGTATGGCAATAGGAACACTTTAGTAGCAAGCATGAAGTGGTACAATACTCAGCACATGAGCACGTAAAAACCATCTGTCACGAGATCCGCATGAGCGCGAGAAGGAGCCCTAGATCGAAGTGAAAATCAATGGCGGACGCAGTTTGGTTGGCATACAAACACCTATGCACACTGTTACACGTGCTCTACGCAGCAGGCTTTCCGGCTGAATAGCAGTGGATGGATATGGCACGACCAATGTCCGTATCATGGTGAAGCTCATCGGCGAACAGTTTTCTAATTTGGGCGTTCAAGTCACCAACTGACACCACAATATCCGTACTTCTTTTACAATGGAGAAGCACGTTCAATTGGTTGTGGAAGCCGTCTTTCACCGAGATAGCGCCACACTTATTAGGTGTGTATGATGCAAGGACAAACAGTTACCGTTTGTTCCCGCGCGACTTTGAAGCTTTGAACGAGCCAGCTATGCTGACAGCACCCACCTGGCTGTTCATTCGGATCCAGTCGTTTAGGGAAGCTTCAGCCCGGTGGCTCAGAGTTCCGCCACTAGGTCGAAGATGAAACCCAAGCGCTCCAACCGTAATAAGCGTCTGCGCTTCCAACGCATGGGGCCCAACCTACTTCCATAAGCGGAGAAGACTGGAGCGTGCCTGCTTCCACTTCTTTTTAGTGGAGCAGCCCCAATTAAGTCAGTGGTGGTGCTGGCAGCCCCGAGTTAGATCAAGTCCACCATCAACAATTCCTCGGCTTGGTATGCATCGGTTGCCACCATGCAAACGCCGGGGTGAATACCTCTGATACAGTTTGTCGCACCGTGAGAAAATTGAGGTAAAGTAGCTACCACAGTTTACTAAAATGCTAAAAACGATAGCAATATCCTCAGACCGGAAGTCAAATGATTGACGTACGGCGCCGTAACTGTCGGGTGCACAAATATTCTGGAATCACACACTGGCGCCACAAAGAAGAAGCTGATGGATGACTTTAATCATTTGAATCCCATCTGTGGTGCGATTCGCATTTAGTCTGAGCGTAGGACGCTGAGATGAGTCACACGTTAGCCAAATCCAGTGCATTGCGGTGGTCAACAATTTCTGATAAATATACGGAGGCCATATTTCCGTCATCTTTTCGGCTTTGTAACTCAGCACAGGCTGTTTACGTACTTCCGGGCATCCCTCGGAAAAAGGAGTCAAAAAGGGAGTAACAACGTTGAAGTAGCTCGTAAACCTAACGACCAATGAGCGATCAGTTTTTACGGCTTTCCCGAGCTTCAAAACCCCTATTCTATCTTGGTGACGAGAATTCAGCCTTCACCAGATTAAGCGGGGAACATTCTTAGTCTGATGAAGGTGGTGCTTCAGTTTGAGTTAACGGCACAGCCCACCTTGGAAAACCGATCTGAACTCCGCAAAAAGGATGTTTACAGAAATTCGGTTTAGCCCCGAAGGCACACGGCCAAGTGTGACTGACAATTCACTGGGGACGGCAAATTTGGTGAATCTTTGCCTCATACAGTGCTGCGAAGCGATTGACCTGATGGTGACCTCAGCACCCGATAGAATACGTCAAAATCTTGGCGATCATAAGGGTCGCGACACCCGCGATCAGCCGTACAACTCAACCAACGTTCAAAGACCAAAGACTCGTCAAGACACAACTGGTGTCCGACCAATCAAGGTTCGGCAAAACCTTCAGTCTTAATTCGACATCTAGCAACTCCCTTCTGTTGCCGTTAAACTGCCCTGTTTGAACAATAACGCTCAAAGCGTTGGTAGTAACTTGGTTGGACTCCGTCATCGTCAGGCACTAGAGTCTTTGGATATGATAATAAGCATCGAAACGTGAATGAGCTGAGAACTTACCAAGGTTGTGATCACCTTACTCGGTATGTCGCTTCTCCGGAGTGACAGAAAGAGTAGCGGTGAGGTAGTGATCTTTGATGATCCAGCAAACTGTTACACCACTGAAGTAAATGTGGGTAGCCCAAGTTGTTCATTTGTTAAGCTAACTGTTCTCTGTGTTTGGCCGTTTTGTTGCAAACGTTGCATCACCAGTCGAGGTGACAT